AAAAAAAAAAAAAAAAGAAAAAGTACATGAAAAGCTACTAGCAAGAGATAAAAGCGTTATTTTCTAGTCCCTTCCTAGTAAAGATTCTTATATTTCATATATATGTGTGTGTACATATGCAATTTTTTTTTAGGTTTCCTATTTGGGGCCTTTATGTAAGCTGATTCATACTGTGTGTAACCTTCTGTGACATGCTTTATTTTTAACTGATATGAAGTTTTTAAAATTCATCCACATTGCTGTATATAACTATAGTTTAATGAGTCCTCATGTTATACAATTTTATATTCTACGTTTTTCATCGATCATTATATTGAACATTCTCCATTTTAAACTGTTTTCAAAGCATATAGTTTTAGTGGTTGCCTGATGATACAGATAAGGATATTATGTAATGTATTTACAAATTGCTCTATTGTAAGAAATTTATGGTAAACATCTTTAAAAGTAAATGTTTGTGTATGCATATCTTATGTGTCTTTAATAATATCCTACTGATAAATCTCTAGGAAAAGAATTATTAGATCAAAGGTTTTCAAAATTTTTAAAGTTTTTTTATACATTGCCAAAATGTTCTAGTGCTACAACCAATAGAAATTGGTGTCAGAGGGTACTCATTTTACAGTACCCTTGTAAACCTTTGCTTGTCTCTAAGCAATTGACTTAGATGTATAGTATGCTCTCTTTTTTGTAAGTTATTAAAATGTTATAAAATGATAATTTATAACACATTTATAGGTGCCTAAAAGGTTGTAAGATTGAAGGACAGGGATTTATTGATTGAATGAGGTTGGCATAAAGAATGGGAATAAGATTATCACTTCATATAGACAGTTTATAAAAAGGTATATAATTATGAGTGCATTTTGCTTTGCTTTTATGGTTTTTAATATTTTCCACATGTAAAACCTTTAATATTCTTTTTTTTTTTTTTCTGCAGTTTTTGGCCGGGGTTGGGTTTGAACCTGCCACCTTCAGCATATGGGACTGGTACCCTACTCCTTGAGCCACAGGCATAGCCCCACATGTAAAAACCTTTAAATAGAAGAAAAAGAATAAGAAAAGACACACACCAAATTTTTAGTAGTGGGAGTTGAATTTTTACTTTTTTTTTTTTGGAGACAGAGTCTCACTATGTCACCCTCAATAGGGTGCTGTGGCGTGCTCATGGCCGCCTCAGCTTTTGGGCTTAAGTGTTCTCTTGCCTCAGTCTACCAAGTAGCTGGGACTACAGGTACCTGCCACAATGCCCAGCTATTTTTTTGTTGCAGTTGTCATTGTTGTTTAGCAGGCCCAGGCTGGGTTCAAACCTGCCAGCCCCACTATGAGTCCAGCACCCTAACTACTGAGTATAGGCGCCAAGCCAGCATAGTGATTTTTGTTTACCTTGTTTTGTTCTTTTTTTTTTTTTTTTTTTGAGACAGAGTTGCCCTTGTAGAGTCAACATAGCTTATAGCAACCTAAAACTCTTGGGCTCAAACCATCTTCTTGCCTCAGCATCCCAAGTAGCTGGGGCTACAGGTGACCGTCACAACACCCAGCGATTTTTTAGAGACAGGGATCTCACTCTTGCTCAGGCTGGTTTTGAACTCCTGAGCTCAAGCAATCCACTCATCTCAGCCTCCTATAGTGCTGGGATTACAGGCGTTAGCCACCATGCAGGCCTGTTTTGATTTTAATATGAATTTGAATGCCCATAGGTATGCTCTTTACAATTTGCCACCATCTCTCCAAATTTTCTTATACTTGGAAGTTTCACACATTTAATGTTATCTGCCTGGTTCCTCAAGGTATTTCAGTTTTTATTCTACATGGCTTTATCTTGTTAATTTATGATAGTGAAACCCAGACTCTAAGAAATTAAGTACTTTTTAAATGAGCATACTACTAAATATTCCTAATAATAAACATCTTATTTTATATGCACAGCTCAAGTTTGCATGTTATTAGCTTGTTTGTTTAACATATCAGCCATTTGGGATTTGTTACTCGCATTGTACTACTATAATGACACCAAAGCATAGGAAGGTTCAGTGAATTTCATCAAGGTTGCTTAACCAGTTAAAAAGAAAGCAGTACTATCATAGATTAGGTAATATTTTATCAATATTAATTTTCTGATTTGATAATAGCTATGTAGGAGAATGTCTTTTTTTTCTTTTAGGAAATATACACTAAAGTTTTTAGGGGCAAAAGGGTATTATACCTGTAGTTTATTCTCAGTTGGTTCAGAAAAACTACATATAGAGATAAAGAAACTAAAAAAACAAATGTTATAAAATGTAGACATTTGAGTAATCTGGGTGAAGAGTATATGCATTATTTCTGTAACTTTTTATACATCTGAAATGATTTCAAAATAAAAAGTTTTTAAAAGGAAGGAATAGTGGGTATTCTGTTACTAAGTACATTTATGCTACTGTCCTACTTTTTTTTTTTTTTTTTTTTTGAGACAGGAGCCTCAAGCTGTCCCCCTAGGTAGAGTTCTATTGCATCACAGCTCACAGCAACCTCCAACTCCTGGGCTCAAGCGAGTCTCTTGCCTCAGCCTCCCGAGTAGCTGGGACCACAGGTGCCCACCACAACTCCTGGCTGTTTTTTGGTTGCAGCCATCATTGTTTGGCGGGCCTGGGCTGGATTCGAACTCGCCACCTTGGGTATATATGGCTGGCGCCTTAGCCACTTGAGCCACAGGTTCCGAGCCTGTTGTCCTACTTTTGAGAGGTGTTGTTTTAACATTTTTCTCCCTTTACTTTTTACAAGGTACAAGTATTTAAACAGTTAAAAGTATCACATAATTTGTCAGGTAGTTTCGAAAAGTAGCAACATGATAGAATACTTCCTTCTAGCTAACTCCATAGCAATATATAGGTTAAAAAGCTAGGACATGGTTAAAAAGCTATGAAAGTTTTGCAACAGATTATGTGATAGTCCATTTTTTGCTTCCAGGAAACACAGTCAACAGTGTCCTTTCTGATTTACTTGTGCAAATTTGAACATACAAGCTTTATCATTGTTGCTAGGAGAGTTTCATTTCTTTCTGTCTATGCAGGTTTTACACTTCTTGATTTTTGTGTATGTCAAAACTTTTGTAATGACCCAGCATTTCCTAGCAAAATTTTTGGGTAACTTTTTGCTTTGTGTGTATTCTGCAGCCTAAGTCTGTCATTGTTGGATTAATTAAAGAAATGATTGCCAAGTTTCAAGAAGAATTTCCTGTCTACTCTCTCTCATCGTCTGATGAGGCACGGCAGGTAGACTTGCTAGCCTACATTGCAAGAATCACTGAAGGTTTGTATTTTTTGTCAGTCACATTGCCTTGAGAGTTATAAGTTTATAATTTCTCTCTAAAATCCATTACTCTCTGCTACTTGATTTTTATAAATTGTGTGTGTCAGCCAGGTACATTCATTCATGCCTATAATCTCAGCATTATGAGAGGGTGAGGTGAGAGGATCACTCGAAGCCAAGAATTTAAGACTGGTCTGGGCAACACAGGAGACTCCATCTCTACAAAAAAGTAATAATAAAAAAAATTAGCCACACATAGTGGTACGTGCCTCTAGTCCCAGCTATTCTAGAGGTTGAAGCAGGAGTAATGCAGGAACCCAGGAGGTTGAGGTTACAGTGAGCTCTGCTACATTAGTGCCACTGCAGTCCAACCTGAGTGATAGAGCAAGACCCTGTCTCAAAAAAAAAAACAAAACCTGTGTGTATATATACATCTACAGATGCTTTGAATACAAATTTTTCACCCATTTATCATAAGGTATTACCATATAGTTCTAATGAATATTTTTTTTTTCTTAAAATACAAAAAGTGGGGCAGTGCCTGTGGCTCAGTGAGTAGGGCACTGGCCCCATATACCGAGGGTGGCAGGTTCAAACCTGGCCCCAGCCAAACTGCAACAAAAAAGTAGCCAGGCATTGTGGCGGGCACCTATAGTCCCAGTTACTCAGGAGACTGAGGCAAGAGAATCACCTAAGCCCAAGAGCTGGAGGTTGCTGTGAGCTGTGATGCCATGGCACTGTATCGAGGGCGACAAAGTGAGACTCTGTCTCTAAAAACAAATAAATAAATAAAATGCAAAAAATGAGTCTAATACTGAGAGATAAAATCTTGTTTCCTTTTCCAACACCACTTGATATGTATTAATGATCCCAGGCCTTTTTCATTGTATGTTTATTTAGCTTTATGGGTTACTCAGTATATTGGCTTACAATATCCATGATTCTCATTGCTTCTTATTGAAGATAAAACCAAATACTCATGCTTAGAAAATTTTAGTAAGGTGTTAAACATTTTTTTATTGTAGGCCACAGCAATAATATTCAGAATATTAATTATGGAAATCTTATTGTTTTAGAGTCTTATATTAATATTTTTAAATATATTTTTAAATGTTGGAAAAAATATTTTCTTTTTAAAATAATAACCTCTACTTAGTAGAATATTTAATAGGAGACTCCTATCTTTCCTGTAAATACTCATATTTGGAAAATTTTATTTGTTCAATAAGTATTTGGGGGCCCACTATGAACTAGCACCATGTTTTCTATCTGATCTATTGAAACCTGGTACATTTATTTAAAAGATGCTAAAAAGATTTTTGATATTATTTTTAGTTCTCAGGATAATCTACTTTTTTCTGTAGGTGTCTCTGACATAGATACAAAGAGCTGGGCAAATCATGAGAATAGAACAGTGAATAAAATTACCGTGGTTGGAGGTGGAGAATTGGGTATTGCCTGCACATTAGCAATTTCAGCAAAGGTATGTAAGCCTAGTGGTTATAAATATAGCCATCATAGTGCTGCTACATTTTTAGGCAGTTTGTATTTAACATACAAAAAGTACTGGCTTCACTCTGTCATTTAAGAAAAACCTATTTTGCCTTAAAATATGTTTTGCAAGTTGGCAAAATATAGCTGTAAGGTCTCATCAGGGATGTTGCTTCTTAATTAGTGATTAGTCATGGAATAATCTTTGAAAAAGTGATATGAACAATGGGCTCATCCTAATCCAAGGGAAAACTCAACTTGACATTCATTTGACTTAGTCACAAATTAATTCTTTTGTGTTTTCCAAGTCTTGTGACTTTATAATACTTAATTTTAGCTTTTCTAAAATTAGCGTGGTTTTTTTTTTTTTTTTTTTTTTTG